TACCTCTACAGTATTTTTTGACCTTACTATTTTAGTTTAAAGAGCACGGCATCGATTTTGCTCTCAATTTCTTCTTCTTCTTCTTTTTCTTTTTGCCCCTTTTTTTTGATAGATACTCACGTCTGGAGTGGAAAGATTACCGGACAAAGTTCAAATGGATAGCCGATATACGGGATGTATCATATATATGAACACACACAAGCGAAGCACGCACAGCCGGCGATTCTTGATGAAAGATGAGACTATAAATTAAATGGTTTATGTTTGCCGGAATTCGTTTTTTGCAACACACACATACTATGGTGATAAATAATTTTCACTCGAGTAATTTACTTGCGACGATCGATTATGCCTTCAAAATTGCAAGTGCCATTAGGTGCAATATCTTTTATATATTATTTACTTTATATAATGATTTTACAATTAAAAAAATTTATTTCATTCTAATAATCGGAGTGTTAACAAATAAATATTTACTTGAACTAAACTTTAATTAAAGATTAAAGTATATTTGAAAAAGGGGACGAAACTTTGAAATTAAGGGAATTTATAGATAATATGTATATAACTGATAAACGATGTTTAATGGAAAGGTGTTTTGTAAAGTTATAGAATGATTAATTAATTCTGTCAAGGCCCTCCACGACTCTGTAAACTAGAAATTGAGACGAGGAATTTGCGGTAGTCTGACCTGTCAGTTCCATAGACTAAGTGTAATAATATTTGCATTAGCCGATGTTGTGGCCAAGTTCTAAAGCGTTGCAGGTAATTCAGCCTAACTTAAACCCTATTCAAAACAATATATACTATAAACTCCCTATATATATACGTATATATATTCTGAAACTTGTAAGTCACTAAAATCGCCTGTGTGGTCTGCATGTGGCGGCAATACATCTGCTAAAAGCATTGCTTAAAGCTTTTTCATAAAAGAAAAGTCGAAAAAAAAATTTTTTTTCCTTCAAATATTTAATGCATTTAGTAAAATGTTTGTGTATTTTTTATCGTAGACGATAAGGAATGAATTAGCTGTTGCAATTTTTAAATGACAGAAATTCACCGAATTTTAATTTGTCCAAATTTTCATTTATAAAAAAAGGATTGGAATAAGTCAGAAGTGGAAATGTTGATTACAAAATAAATTTGTCGCTAATTGTAAAAGTGATCACATTTTTTTTGCATCTCTTTTTTTTTGAGTCTCTTCATCTTTGGGCGACATAATTTATTTAACATTGGCTGTGCTGGCCGCGAAATCGCAAAATCTGTACGTGACTCGTCGTATTTTCGTCGTTCATCATCCACGCTTGACGTGCAGGCAACGGCGCGGGCTTAAGTGCTATGAACGTATATACAAGTAAGAGAGACGGTTGCAGCAGCAGCATCAGCAGCAGCAACAACAGCAAGCGGAGGGACTTGAGGTTTGGGGCCCGTCGCATGTTTTTGCCCCCTGTCTGGCCCCCACCGAGGCTCATCTTTTTTTGTCTGGTGCACTGCATGAGCACTGCATCGCCACAGAGTCCCCCCCCTCCCCTCTCTTTCGTCCCGGAGGCATACACGCGCAACGAGCCACACGGTTTTCTTCTTGTAACAAAACCGATAGAATCAACGCTTGCGATTCAATGCCATATATATAAAAGCAATAAAGGTATATAAAAATTTTAAGAATTTTCCGACTTTGTTAGTTTATTTTTTATTTTCTTTTAATTTTTTTCTATTCGGACGTCCAATCTGAATTGTTAAAAATTTGTACTAATTTTAATTATTTACTTTTTGCTTTTGAATTGATAAAATTTAACTATATAGTAGAATAAAAATTTTTTTGCTATGGAAGTAAAATTTATAATTCAAAAGCAAAAAGTGAGTTACTGATTCAAATTAGTTAAAATTGTTACTAATTTAAATGTATAGAGAGAAAATAAAAAAAATCTACATATAGAGCTGAATGACTTTAAAATGGATATTGATGGTCCATTTATGATGAATTGCAACTCATTTGCTTATTGATGCAACATTTTGCAACATAAACTGCGCGTGATCTGAACAAGACAACCGCAGACAAACTAAAAACTTGGTCAAATATTGACGAGTAAAATATTTGATGTCTTACACCTTGTGAATTCTTTGTATATACGCTTTTTTCACAATAATACCGTATATGGATATATTGTACTTTGTTTGTTTTAACAGATGTCAGTGCTCTTTGGAAAAAAAAGAGAGAAAATCATTTACGAAGAAAAATTATAATTTTTAAAATTTTGTTTTTGCTTTACACTATATTGTAAAAGCTTATTAACTGTAGTTAACTGAAAAAAGGGTTTGATAACAACAAAATTTTTGATTGGTATTCGCAAACCAAATTTTTTTGCTGTGTCAACAAAATTTTGATTGACCAAACTAAACTTTGGTTAACACAACAGAAAAATTATGTTTCCAATACCAATCAAATGTTTTTTGTCAAAACCAAATCCGTTTTTCCGTGTGGTATCCATTTTTTCGGATTAAATTTCATTAATCCAGTTTCGTGTTAAAATAACATAACCCCCAATTTTATTTATTTTTTAAAAATACATTGTCGTGATTGTAGAAAGAGATTTTAGAATGACTTTTTCGTGAGATATATATCTATTGCACACCTTGATTTTTTATTATTCTTTTTGCGTAATCGCGCGGTTCCATGATATAAAGAACGACTCGTAGATCGTTTAACGAGTACTGGGTGACGAGCTCTTCGAACCGTTGAACCGGCGATGATGAACATTGATAAGGTTTTATGGCCGTGTCTCATCCTGTTGGAGCAATCGCAATCGCCCTGTCGATGAGCACCAGTGTGCATATATATATATACTTCCCTTGCACACGCGTATCGAATCGTGGTAGAAACATGCATACACACATATATATATAGTTTGCTCCCATCAGATTTCCTTCCCCTTGCCCTCCCCTTCGGCCCTATACACTCTTGATTGCATAGAGAATGTACGTAGGCGCTTGTAAAGTGCGAGATAATGGCGAAAATGGAAAAAAGAACGCATGCTGTATAAAGGGAGAGATAGAGAGAATGTTGGAAAAGGATGAAAGTGTTTATATTGTAGCCGTCGAGCAACGTTCCAAGTTAATGAGGAACAAAAGCCATACCACAGTCGACAGGTAGGTATGGCCATATCTCGTCAGATTTACTGCAATTTTCTGCAAGAGTATGCTGACATCTTTACTGCTTTATCTTTTCGAGAGAAAAAAAAATATATAATGCATATGCATATAGGGGCAATCAGCATTGTTTATTTGCATTCAAAGCAGTAGTTGTTGTATGTGCTAATTGCCTTCCATGAGGATCTACTTTTGTGTGAAGATGCGTGGTTGTGTTGTCGATTAATTAATTTCATTTCTCATTTTAGAATTGTGTGGGATGTCTACCAGCTTCCGGCTATAAACTTTATAATAATGTTTATGTCTCTTCATTAACGCTCAAAACATTCTTCTCTTCTTAGGTATATATATTTTGATAAAACACTTGTTTTTTCTGCATAAAAATTATCATTTTCAAAATTGTTCTTTTTCTTAAGAAAGTTCTTTTTTAAAAAGTAGAGTTAGAGAATATTGTGAATTACACCTTAGAAATACGATTATAATTTATGCCAGTTGAAATATATGAATTCAATAGAGCAAACAAGAATCGTGAGTAAGGTGTTAATTTCTTTTAAAAGACTATTTAACATATTCCTATGGCTAATTGCTCTGATGGAAGGAATCCTTAACGACTTTTAAAGAGGCTCGTGCGCACAATGTAAACTTGGTGTAAACTCTTCTTTGCGTTACACCTGAATTTTCTCATATTGACATCGTTATCATTATGCTTTTTCAGATTAAAACAAAAAAAGGCGCATTTAAAGATGACCTCTATTGGCGAGACGCTTTACGTCCACAGTATGTCACCTTGGTAAATATGTCGAGTCAAAGAAACGTTTTATATTATTTTTATCGACAACTATCCGGAAGCGGTAGTTTCGTTGAATTCTATTATCTCTAGCGAGAGATAACATTTGAGCCGTGACTAACATGATAATATGTATTTTTCATCCGATTATATATATATGTAGGTACTATTGTAAATTGACATATAGAAGAAAACTAAATTATAAGAAATAGTGTTAATAATAATTTAATTAAAATAAAAATTATTGGATACAAGTAAATATTATGTATTTAATAATAGTCAAATAACCGCGATTATTTTAAACAAAAAAATTTTTTTTTTTAATGTAGCTTTTTGTCAATAGGTATGATGAAATGGGCTATCAAAGAAAACAGACGAATGCAATGAATGTCTGGAAAAATTGCATATCTGATTCTCTAATCTTAACTTCTTATCTTTATGTTTCTATTTTTTTTAAAATGCTTCCATAATCGTTATAATAATAAAAGTCTGCATAAAATGCTCAAATGTACATAATTTTGAAAAATTCTGCTTTGATAATTATCTTTTTTTTTTATTAATGATTTTAAATTTTTTAAATAACATTCTTCTTTATTTATTCATATTTTTTTAATTGAATAAATAATTGTAAAATTATGACTTGTTTTATGTGTAAAATAGCCTTCCAGTTTTTGTTGTTAGTTTTATGAAAGAACCTTGTTATTTGGAGGACAGTCTCATGGACAATTTTTATTATACTTTTGATGATATTAGACATAATGTTTAAAAATAAGAATCATAGTTTAAATAACAATTTTTTTTAAAAATTATTATTGTTTTTTTCGAATTTTATTTTTTGTTCTTGTTTTTTCCGAAAAACTATATATAAAAATATATATTATACATTTTTTTATTATATTTGCTATATTTTTTTTACATTTTTATTTTGTCCTCATTCTTTGGAGAAAGAGAGAGTTCAGTAGAATTATATATATATAGTTTTGATAATTATAATATATAGTCAATAGACGTATATTATCAGTAAAGTTTTTCCGTTAGTAATGTAAAGTTTATTTTTATTTTCCAGTGAACGTAAGCGGGTATATAGTGGTGGTGCTTGTCCTCGTAGTCGGGGCACTCGTAGGTGTCCTGGCCACGGTTTCCCATCATCTACATCACCGACCTGCCTCGATATCGATTTTACATCATCATCATCATCACCATCGTCATCATCATCATCGCGAGGAGACACTGACATCAAATCAACGACGACTCCTCCTCGAGGATCACTATCGTCATCCTGCTACGCCGGTAAGTACGAATTTATAAAAAAAATATTTATACTTTAAATAAATTAAGAACGCCATTAGTGCAATAATCAAGCAAATCTTTTTAAAAATAATGCAAAAAATAATTTCTGATATTAGGGAAAAAAAATCTCTTTTTTTATCTCGAGTAACTGAAAGTTCGTTCTTGGCAAGTTGCGAGAGCCTCATTCACTCATTTTCGACTTTATTCGTTGTTGCAAAAAAAGTATATAAAGCAGAAAAGAATGGAATAAGTAGACAAAGAATAATTTACTTAATGAGCATGGCACAGTACATTTTCGGCTTAAAAATCCACTAGCGCAGACTGAGATAAGTCATCTTGAAGAAACATTTGTCTTTCAAACTTTTTCTTCATTATCTCTTCCCAAAAAAAATGAAGTTAATTAACATTTTTCACAATTAGCGAGACGCATTAAATATACAACTCGAAATTCCATTTAACAACCAAAACAACAAGGTGATATTTATGTTCCCGACCCCCTAATTTCCCCCCCACTATTTTTTGTTTAAAAAACGAAAAAAATGAGATTAAAAAAATTTTAGTTCCAAACAAAAATCCACAAAGTGTTCTTGATTTTTTATCAATTGTTCATAGAATCAGTCGACCTTCAGTAAAATTGAAACTGAATTCTAAGAAGACAATTTTTTTAAAAATAAAAATACACATAAAGAGCAAATGAAGACTTTGGAAAGATAAAAAGAATATGTACATTTATCTTATCGACAGACTGTCGTATGTAATACAGCTGTTTATATATGCTATATATATTATATTGAAAATATTGATAATTTGACCATATTTATATTTAGCAAATATAAATCTCGAAATTAAAATTTTTATTTTTCTTATATACTTGGAAAATGTAAAATTTTACTAGATAGCTTTCTGCTCCCATTGATATGAAGTCTCCTTTACTTTTCAACATGAAAAATTAATATCGTGAAAATATTAATGAAAAAAAAATGCAATGTGAGGTCTAGAAAACTGATTTAATGTGAAAGTTTTATTTCTCAGGTTCAATGCACTCTATATATTCTTGTTCTTCCAACCCCCTATACTCTATAGTCGACTAGGTCATATGAATTTTTAAATTCCATCTATTAGCTTCTATTTCTGCGGGAGAACTTTTATCGAGACACATGAAAGACAATTTTTTTCTTATTTTTCTTTAAAAAAAAAAAAAAATTTCTATTTATGGGTGATTATTACAATAGTGGTTAAAATTGTAGATTTATTACTTATGATTTTTACCTCAAGTCAATGTGTTCATTAATTTAAATTAATATCTCATTATTTCTTAATTTTTGCTTTAATTCGCAGACGTTCTTATTTATTCATTTTCTTTTTTTCGATAAATTTAAACTTTTTACATGTATTTTCGAGGAATTTAATTTTTAGGAATTTTTAATTTCTTTTAATTTTAATTAAGACACTTTATTGTAAAAAGAATTTCCATTTTGAAATCATATAAAGGTTAAAGACTATATATGTAGTCTTTTGACTAAAGCCCGAAATTTTCCACGTGGAAGAGTCCTTAAGGAGTCCTTATATATATATATAGAGTTGGGATCTCAACGTCAGTATAACCGTAACAAGCACAAGTTGACTTCCGGACTAAGTTAAACTTGGAAGTTGGCTCCGACGACGTAACATAGTATAAAAGCCGGCGGGGGTTGGTCTCGGCAGAGGATAGACTATTGTTATTCTGGATTGCATTGCAAATTACATTACTGAGTAACTTCGTGCCCCATGCGCTATCCTTATGCTCTGAAGGGCCTCTCGAAACCATTTTGCTATATATATATGTAGCCAACTCGCTTCTCCTTCCGACTAGACGTCTCGCAGGCTTATCGGTTTCACTGGCACTGCTTGGTACATTATGCATTTGTAGTCAAGATTGGCCAAGAGAGAGTATCTCTTCATCCACATGAACGATTTTCTGACATTTCGTATATGCACAATTTTTTTTTATTTATTTATTATACAGAAAATTACTCAAAATAATTGAAAAATTCTTTTTAAATTTCGAAAAACCAATTTTCGAATTGTGTATCAAGAAAAGATAAAATTAGAAATTAGAATCTAAAAATTCGGATAAGAATATAAATTCGAAAATTCATTAAAAACAATCAATACCTTGAAAAATAAGCAGAAAAATATTAAATGAAGAAAAATTTGTTTATTAATTCATAATCTTACAATTATTTTAACCAAAGCATTTTTATTCAGTCCACTGAAAAGAAATCGACAACTCTTTTTTCCTATTGTATAACATCCAACTACTGTATATATAGAATATATACAATTTTCGTTTCTATTATATCATTCTTCAAAAACACAAAATCCCTTTACGAAAAATCTCACCGATTCGTGAAGGAAAATTTTTCTCTCAGTTTTTATTTCTTTTTCTGTCCGACGAATAAATTCCCTGTCTAAGCGCATTTTATACTCATAGTGAAAGAGAGAGAGAGAAAGAGTTTTTCTCTTTTAAAGTTTGCAATTTCTTTTTTTTTTTTTCTCAACTCTGACAAGAACATGCGATCAGCAAATCTTTGAAAAATCATTTTTCCGTAAAAGAATTTTTTATTCTTGAAAAAAAGAAAAATGTTACCTCAAAGGGAGAAAAGGAAATTTATACTTTGTTAAGACAAAGTATAAAAAGAAACAAAAAACTAAAGTGTATATATATTTAAAGTGTGTGGCGAGTGTTTTAAAAGGTTGAAATTAAAATTTTTACGATTTTGTTTGTAAATATTTGAAAGTGTTGAATAAAAAAAAAAAAGAAAGTAAGAAAGAAAGAATGAAATGAAGACAGAAAGTAGTGAGACGTTTGAACACACGCGGTTGACTGAGCTTTCAGAAAACCACATTGGCCAAACCAAGTCATAATAATGGCAATAAACAACGACAGTAATCGCGTGCGTACGTGCACTTAGACCTTCTGGCTTCTGGTCGACCTTCCTAATCGCTCAAGACGGAGAGAATCGAGTCTTGAGTTCATATTATGTCTACCCCGACAATGGCAAGAGTCTCTTGTTACAAAAAAAAAAGAGTCAACGATTGTTTTCTTGTGGCTTACAATATTACTTTGACGAGCCAAGATGAAATAATATTCAATTTATATAACTTTATATTAATTTCTGAATTTTTTATTTTCGATAATTTCATTGAATAGGTGACGAAATTAACGTCTCAAAATTTTTGCTACAACAGTAAAAAAATTTAAACTAGTTCACGACTTGTTCAAAACGGTTTGAAACATAAACTCAATTTAAACGGTTTTAAACCTGTTCGAAACAGTTGAAAATTATAATAATAATAATAATTTTAAATCGTTAATAAATTAAAATTGTCAATCTTTACTCAGACGAAGCAAGTATTAGAGAATAAATATTTAAACAAAAATTATTGAAAAACAATAAAAATGTCTTTCTTTTTCTAATTATAATATATTTCATGTAGACAATGAAAATAACAATTATTTTTATTGCATCAGTTTGTCAAAACTATCGCAGATGAGTGATGAATTATTGATAGAGAGTTATGAGCAGATTTCACGTCGTCCTCTGTAGGGATATCTGATCCTCATTCATTTCGCCATAAAATATTAGTGTCTATACTGAAATCCGTACATATATATATGTAAATCGATTTCTCGTGAAATTTACTGATCAGTACATTTTGCCGATCTGATTAGCGTATTATGAAACAATAATAATTCATATAGTTTCTGCAAAATTATAATTTTTTTTGTATCTATTTTTTTACCCTATTAAAAAAAAGTAATTCAACTTCTTCAATCGATAAAGAATTAAAGAAAATCGAATTTTGCGTCTTATGGGTTCTTTTTCATTCTTTCTTTCTCTCTCTCTTTTTCTGTGTTTATTGTTAACTTCCACTTAGTTGATTATTATTCTTCGATGCGAAGAAATATAAAATGCATTCCAGTCTGCTTTACACTGCCCTCGATTAATAACACTCGCGTGATTCCAAGTAACGTCCATCGTGCGCTCTCTGCTCGCTATATACACACACAGGAAGAAAACGAACAGAACTATAAGGAGCGCGAATTCCTCAACGCCATCCGCCCCTGAAAATGTTGTCGCGACTCAATGGCGACTCGCGAAAATATATACGTTTTTACATACTAAAGAAGATTTCTTCTTTCCCCAAGCGTCTTTAGATAAATTTTTTACTTTCGGAAAATTTTTAAACTGACTCAAATTTTTTCACATTCAAAGCAAACAAAATGCCGCAGAATGAATCAAATACACTATTAATATACAATTTTTTTTACTAGAAATAAAATTTGTTTATGTAATAATTTTAATATTGAAAACTGTTTATTATTTTTTTTAATAATTTTTTTCAATTAAAAAAAAACGATTAATTAATAATCATGTGGGATTATTTTTGAAAGTGAAAATTTTCAACTCTTAATGCACTGCATAGATGCGCTTTTGTGTCGTTTAAAGTTTTTCCAAGTAAAAAATTTCCATAAAAGGTGTTCGCAAAGGTAAAAGATCGCTTTCACGCCCGGGGTGCATTGGACACACGTTTCGCGACGATGTATCACACTAAGTGCAAAGAGAAGCAATGACCTGATTTGAAATTTATTACGTTTGGACGACGTCCAAGTGCGGCGCGCATTGGCGTGGCTGCCAAATCCAAAGGGAGTGCGCCAGCCGACGCTACCCACCCCTAGTATATACACCATTTGATATCACAAAAAAAAAAAAAAAATAAGAAAAACAAAGCAAAAGATTCCCAAAAAATTTAAAAGAAAAAAAAACCATTCATAATTTTATTTTACTTTTACTTCCTGTGAAAATAGATTTCATAACACAAAACGAAAATTAATTTCAAATAATAAGATTTAGTTAAATGCGTTAAAACAAGTTTAGAATCAGTTCAAACGAATTTTGAACCATTTCAAACAAGTTTTGAACCATTTCAAACAAGTTTTGAATTAGTCCAAATAT